TTTGATCATATTTACCAATGGGGCAAATCATTCTGCCCAGCACTGTATATTGCAGAAATAACGCGCCTGCTTTAATGACTTCCACCCGACAGCTTAAAAATGTTTGACCGCAGCTTCACTTCTCAGACCCGTAATAAAGCTCAGTCAGCCGAATCTCTGCTGCGGGATAAATGTAGCCTCCGGTCATCACATTGTGTAAAATCGTTTCCACTCTGATGAAAGAAACGTGTACCGTAGCCATCTCAGTATAGAGAACCAATCAACCTGAACTTTGAGCATCTGAACTTAATGAGTGGATCATATAACCATCACCGTGAAGTGATTCCTGATCTGAAACGTCACGATAGTCTGGGCCTGTTGAGCACTGGTGATTGTGCTGATTGTTTATACTGCTGTGATAATTCTTGTCTTATTTTCTTATTAAAATAAATGCACGTCTTCATCACCCTCTCACCTCCCCGGCTCGCTTCTTAATGGAAATGTGATTGTTGTGACAGTAAATTCCTGTTTGATGTGCTGTAACAAGACAGCAATTTCCTTAAGGAAATGAGAGGCAAGTGATCACCAATGTACACACAGTGGCTGAAGCTAATTTAGCATTGGATAATGGAAAGTTGGCAGTAGAGATATGTACATTTCTGTGGTCTGGAGCATTCAGATGTCCCTCTGTGGTTGCGTAGTTAAAGCTGAAGTGTGTAACTTCTGCATCATTAAAGTCACCAATGAGATTGCGAAAATAAAGACTGTTACCAAATGGGGTTTCTGAAGACTTTCATACTTTTACTGCATTAGTTTAAGCCATTGGTGCTTGCTTTGCTAGGCTTGTTATGTCTCACTTAGTACATTTAAAAGGCCAATTTATACTTCTGTGTTCGGCGTAGGCTAGCATTTATACTTCTTCGTTCAAGTCTTGGTTGCTCTGCAGTACTGCTCCGAAACGCTAGTTGGCGCCGGAGGGTTTTAATGTCCCACTGTGTTTAGATTCCTCGCGGCTAGGTTACTACGAGCAATGGCGACTGAAAGAGAGCGGCTCATGTTGGAGTTGGAGCTTATTGAGGTGAAAAAACAGTTCATTTTAGGGAAATTACTAAAACTAACAAGAGAAACGAGAGAAGACGTCAGAGGAGATAGTACGTGCGGAAATGCGATGCTACCAAGCCGACCAATCACAGTCATCGTGACGTGTAGTTACATTTTTGAGGAGGTACGCGTCAGGATACGGCGAAGGGTACGCGGTATGGGACACGTCTGTGCGTATGCTACGCCGTACCTATTGCGCGCACCCTACGCAGAAGTATAAATTAAGTTCACACTACATGATTTTAAAACGTCGGTCTGAACTGTGCGGTTCACACTACATGACTTGCTCTCATTGACACAACGTGATTGATCCGCAACAGGAGGTAACGCACTACACGAGTTGACGACGACTCTGTGACCCAACGATTCGATCTTGTTTACAAACAACGTTTTGTCGGAAATGGAAATGACGCGAAACAGCACGCGCGTCAATACCCAGCGAAGAAGACGAAGAACACAACACGCAAATATGGATGTCAGACAGAAACTAGTGCTGCACACTGTTGGCGCGATGACTCGGTTTTACTCGGTGACCTCAACTCATGCCTTGCTCTGATTGGCTGTAGCTCATGACATCACTGAGGTTGAGTCGTGCGACAGCTCTGGATATCTAGCATGCTAGATACAGTATTTTGGGCTCGGTGATGCATCTGCGAGCGTCTTTGATGCGTTGTTGGCTCTTAACATATTAGCAAACGTTCATCGCCCGCTAATCCCCGCGATTTGTACAGTACGTGATAACACCCTGACCTCACGGCGAGCTCAACGATTTGCAAATCGAGCTTAAAATCATGTAGTGTGAACTAGGCTTAAGATGAAATGATCTTCTAATCTTTGTTTGAGATCATTGCACGTGCCTGCGTTGATTGGAGTTAAGCGATTGGTTGGTGATGCGACACCTTGAAAACATCTGGTTGAAGGCAGAAGTACGGACTCGAAATAAAAAATGTATTTTAGAACTTTTTTATGTTAGTTTGTCACCTACCCTTTAGGATATTTACATTTATGCATTTGACACGCTTTTATCTGAAATAAAATACAGTGTTGAAGGCATCAGTTATTATAGTTTTTACACTCTAAAAATTGGGTTGTTTTAACCCAACTTTGGGTCAAATATAGACAAACCCAGGGTTAGTTACATTTTTAAATGACATTTTTAACCCAACGGTTGGGTTTGTCCATATTTGACCCAAAGTTGGGTCAAAACAACCCAGCATTTTTAGAGTGTATTAATTGTAATATGCATTTTGATTTTTGTTAAAGTTTTAGTCATTTTGTTGTTGTTTTTTCAGTTTTTTTTTAATTTCTTATATATATTTTTATTAGTTCAGTTTTAGTTATTTCAAGCATCAGTTTATTTTATTTTATTTAAAGCAACAAAACAGAATTTTTTCTTATGGTTTTAGTTTTACTCTCAGTTAATTATAATAACCCTGAAAGGCATATATTTGTATCACTTCATAAAGTAATTTTGCAGGATATACAGATATTGCCGTATTTAAGCTCTAATGTTTGAGCTTCAGGTAAGCACACAAAAAGTGACTTTCCATATATATATATATATATATATATATATATATATATATATATAAAATGTGTATATATATATAACAATATAGTTGTTATACCATTTTGTTGAATTATATATACAGTATATATACACACACACACACATATATATATATATATATATATATACACACACACATTTCATTATTTCCTGTTTGGCCCCCCATAATACATATATATATATATATATATATATATATATATATGGAAAGTCACTTTTGGTGTGCTATATATATATATGTGTGTGTGTATATATATATATATATATATATATATGTGTGTGTGTATATATATACTGTATATATAATTCAACAAAATGGTGTAATAACTATATTGTTAAATATATATATATATATATATATATATATATATATATTACAATATAGTTGTTATACCATTTTGTTGAAGTATTAATTTTAAAGGTTTCCTTTTTTACCTGATTTTTTTTTCGGTGTGATATTTTTTTTGCATTTTATTGAATCCAATTAGGGATTCAATATGACCTGCGCTATACAGGTTGCACCCATTTTTTCACCTAAATCAAAGGATTAAACACAAGCCTGGACTCTGGGAATCAAGGTTGTTGTTGTTGTTGTCAGCCAGGCCAGCACTGGCCTACATTGCACATGTATGCCATGGTACAGTGCTCGACCCTCAGGCGGCTAATATTCACATTTCGATTAGGTTGATCTTTCCACCCGCTCTGATGAACTCCGTGTTGAAGGGTTTTGTTCTCTCATTTTATCATTTTAGTTTCATCTGCGGCTTCATTTGTAATTCCTGTAAAGACTAAACCACTTAGAGTTTCAAGTAATATTCGGAGAACCTTCCGTTTCACGAGAGCAACAGAACTATTACAAAGACCAACTCAGTGCTTTTGTTGCTTCACTTAAAGTAGTTCACTTAAAAAAAAAAAAAAAACTTAGCTGATAATTTACTCACCCCCATATCATCCAAGATATCCATGTCATTCTTTCTTCAGTCGAAAAGAAATTAAGGTTTTTGATGAAAACATTCCAGGATTTTCTACGTATAATGGACTTCAATGGGGTCCAAACGGTTCAAGGTCCAAATGACAGTTTCAGTGCAAACTGCAAACTGTTCAAAGGGCTTTAAACAATTTCAGACGATGAATAAGGGTCTTATCAAGCGAAACCATCGCTCATTAAAAAAAAAGAAAAAAAAGAAAAACAAAGTTTAAGTTTTAAACTCAAAATTAAGTGTTCAAATTAAGCCTTGCTCTGATAGATTTAGGGTTAGGGTGTGATGCGCGTTCGTGACTCTCCTGTTTGAACTTGTTTATCAAAATGAACGAATCTTTTCCCAAGTCAACACGTTCATTTCGTTCGTTGAATGAACCAAACGACATGAAAAAAAGATTTGTTCATTTTGATAAACGAGTTCAAACAGGAGAGTCATGAACGCGCATCACAACCTAACCCTAAATCTAACAGCAAGGCAACCATTTGAGCTTTAAATTTAAACTTATTTATTTATTTATTTTTAAATGAGCGATCGTTTCACTTGATAAGTCCCTTATTCATCATCTGGAATCGTTTAAAGCCCTTTGAACAGTTTGCACTGAAAGTGTCTTTTGGACCTTGAACCATTTGGTTCCCATTGAAGTCCATTATATGGAGAAAATTCTGGAATGTTTTCATCAAAAACCTTAATTTCTTTTCGACTGAAGAAAGAAAGACATAGACATCTTGGATGACATGGGGGTGAGTCAATAATCAGCAAAAAAAATTTTTTAAAGTGAACTCCTTTAATATTTGCTCTTATGAGATAAGTTTACTATGTGCGTCAGATCAAAATCTATAAAGAGGTGTGTTCCACAGAGAAGAATGTAATGCTCATTGACGTACAATACTCGTGTTCAAATAGCCCAGACCGGCCTCTCCAGTCCCCCGGGGCCTAAAGTAATTGATCCTACTATCGTTAGCTCCATGCTAATCTATCACTGAACCGCTCGTTTACAGTAGAGCCACTGTATTCCCTCTCTTCTCATACACACAAAAGTGGAGCAGGCCACAACAGTTTCCCTGCACAATGCGGAGTGTATCATTTACTGTCCAGTGCACGCCGGACTTACTTTAGGGTTGTTATGGGGAAGATAAAAAAATGGAAGCTTCCTTCAGTCTCACACTTCGCCACCGTGAGGGGAAAGACGCGGTCCAGGCGGAAGAGCGTCGAGGGTCTGTGCGCAAGCACTCTTTTAGGGGTTTTGCATACTAGAACCTGGTTATTGGACGCACAGTGTGTGTATCTGCTGGAACAGACTCAGGCGGGACCCACTCCTCCTCCTCGTACTCAATCGCTCTGCTCTTTCTCTCGCACCTCCTCTGCAGATGGCGGGAACGAGGATACCATAGACCTGCAGAGCACCAGCTTGGATACCCTTCACAACTTCTCTGGACAAGGTAAGCCGTGGTTCAGGTGCCGTACATATGTTACAACGTAGCCTAGTTGCGAAGTAAAGGGCACTTCACACTGCTAAATATTCTTTCATTGCACCATTAAACTTGTGTTTAATGGTGTGTGAGCTCCAAATTTTCACTATACAAGCCAAAAAAGCCTGATGTATAACATGTAAAACTTTTTAAATACTGATATATATATATATATATTATATGTTCAATAAATTGTTCCTTTAAAAGAAAAGAAGATATTTCTGACTATTATTTCATGTCACGCTTTACAAGGTTAAACGAGTCTTAAAGGAGAACTCCGGCGCAAAATGAACCTTTGGTCTAATTACACATTGTTACCTAGTCAACCGTTATCTGAGATTTGTTTTCATGATTGCCGAATGTAAATAGTTTTATCTCTAAAAACAGTTTAGCCTATAACGCTAGTATAACGCTAGTATATGGGGCATAGAGTAATGACAAAAATAAAAATCGCTTGTTATTACCACTAACAAGGCTCAAAATAGCCCCACAGTAACACGACAGCATAATAAGGGTCTCTACATTCAAACCGAAGCATTGAGAACTTTGTCAGTGTCCATACAGTTTAATAAGAAGATATTTTATACATATAGTCAACTTCGCGAATACAGGAAGAAGCCATCTTTGAAAAATAGTCGATCTACGAACACAGATCCAAGTGCGCTGGTGAGATGTGAATAAGGTGATAAGGTGAGCGTGAACAGTAGGCTACGTGTTCATATTGAAGAGAAGAAAACGTTTCGTGTTTGTGTTTCTTCCAGAAACAACGGACCATATGAGATTCTGCTCAGTTCAGCGCACATGGATCGGCGTTCGTAGATCGACTGGTAGAGACTATTTTTCAAAGATGGCTTCTTCCTGTATTCGCGAAGTTGACTTTGTGTATAAGATATCTTCTTATTAAACTGTATGGACAGGTTTGAATGTAGGGACCCTTATTATGCTATCGTGTTAGTGTGGGGCTAATTTGAGCCTTGTTAGTGGTAATAACAAGCGATTTTTATTTGTCATTACTCTATGCCCTATATATTAGCATTATACTAGCGTTATAGGCTAAACTGTTTTTAGAGATAAAACTATTTACATTCGGCAATCATGAAAACAAATCTCAGATAACGGTTGACTAGGTAACAATGTGTAATTAGACCAAAGGTTCATTTTGCGCCGGAGTTCTCCTTTAATACTTGCCCTACTGTAATGTTTTTTTTTTTTAATTTTGCCACATGTCCGATTAATTACTTGTGTTCTTCATCTCATGTGTCCTCCAATCCTGTAGGTGGCAGTATAGACAGTGACTGTGCCTTTGAAGGGGACTATGCTGTTCCTCCGCTTTCGATGGCTGAGGGGCTGCAGCACATCCGTATCATGGAGGTATCGTCCCGATCTCTGCCGTCATCACCGCTGCTCATCCACCAGACCTCCAGACCTCTGCCGTCCGCGAGGAAGGTGTTCGGTATGGCCACAGGTACCGGACTCTCTCAGTCATGATACCACAGTTCCTAATGCCAAAATAGGGGTGTACTTAGGAGGCACCATCGCATATCTGAAATGTTCAGAAAGTTTTTAATTTTAGTACCCCACGCGAAGAGACGGAGATGCTCCTATTTTTTTTTAAAGGTACAATATGCAAGATTGTTTCGCCACCAGGGGTCGCTAACCTCTTACAATAACAAAGGCGTATATTAATGACGTATATTACGCATTAAGTGGAATTATGGATCTTGACGTCAAGCCGATGGATCTTTTATGGATGAGTGAATACGGTGATGTTTTTAACATGACTAGTATGAAGCAGTGTGCGATTGCTAGACGTATACCAACGCCACACGCAACGGATATAAAGGAATAAGGACATTTCATTCTACCGAACTACACCCTAAATTACTCACACAGGTCAGTTTATTAGAGGAATTAAACTTGAGGTAACGCAGCGCTGCTTCACTTGTTCTAACAGTTTCACTATCACACTAAACGGCATTTGTGTGTGTTGAATGTAGTTAGTTAGTTGTTTGTTGGCTGTATAAGACTTAGCTAGATTAACATTAGAGAATAACGTACAGATCATATTCTAACATTTCATCATGTTGAACTAAACGGCATTGGTTAGTTTACATATATATTGATTTGCTCACCTGTTTGCTCAAGTAACATGCAACACTCGCCTCTCTGTCAAGTCGAAGTTAGTCGCGGACGTTGAGCTCTCGGCATCTCGAAAGATGTTGATCTTCGTTTTAGCCCTCTTTTTGTCGCAAAGTCTGCTTGCTATGGTCCATTATGTTTGAACAAAACCCTGCTAGGGACGCTCACGCTGTTGAGCACGCATAACGCCTGTCGCCATGGTTACTGTTGTAATGTAATGTAACAAACCTGGCGGAAACCGGCGGTAACGCGGATATGCGGTCATTGACTGGCGACTCCTCACCCCTGCTCACACACCCCGTTTTCTTGGTTAAAAATCGCAATTTTCTCACGTTTTACAAATAGTTGGAAACATTTGGGATATTGTAAGTAATCAACTAAACAAAATAGCATTGGCCTAGTGGTTTTTTGATATTTTACTGCAATTATCCTGCATATTGTACTTTTAATATATTTTATTTTATTATTATTATTTTTTTTTATTTACCCTTTCACATTTCCAGGATTCTCAGAAACTGAAATTTTCGTAGTTTGGTGAACTCCTATAGTGGTGAATGGATACTACAACAAAATATATTTTTTTGCGCTCCCATTTGTTTCAAATGCAAAAAACAATCGACAATTGCATTTTTATGACTTTCCAAAAGAGGAAAAAATATATTGAGGGATTAATTATGTTGGTCTGATGAATTCGAAACTCTCACATCAGCGTTAACTACTAACCCATTTCCAAAAATGTTGGTATTTTTTGTAAAATGCTATACAATCAAGAATTAAATAGTTTGTTTTTATATAATCAAATTAAAACAAATGTTGGTGCTGATAGCCTTGTGGGTTTGTGTGCCGACCCGAGTTCGAGTCCCGGCTCGTGGACCTTATCCCGATCCTGTCCCTGTCTAGCTCTGTCACTTCCTGTCTAGCTACTGTCCTATCTTAATCAAAGGCCAAAAGAAATCTTAAATATATATATACAGTATATATATATATATATTATTCAGTTTATTTTTACGTAACTAACCAAAGTACAAAGAAAATATTTCCATTGTTTTCACAGACCAACTTTTTGATTTTGATGGCTTCAACACACTCTGAAAAAAGTTGGGACAGAGTCATGTTTACCCCTGTGTCACATCCCCTTTCATTTTATTGCACTTTTTAGTCGTTTGGGAATTGAGGATATTAATTGTTGCAGTTTTGCAAGTGCAATTTTTGCCCAATGTCACCTCATAGAAGACAGCTGCTCCACAGCACGTGGCCGTCGTCTGATTCTCGTGTTCATGATGGTTTAACAGTACATTTTCAATAGGAGACAGATCTGGACTGCAGGTGTCGTGTCTATGAAAGCCATCTTTTGTAGCACGTGCAGAACGAGGCCTGGCATTGTCTTCCTTTTATAACCATAAACTTCCCAGGAAAGATGTTGATGGCAGTATAAGAAAAAAATCAAAAACGGGATCTCTTTAACAACTCAAATGTTTCTTCTAGAAAACAATGAGTCTTCTCTAAGATCCTGCTTCTCACACTTGTCTCCTGAGGCAAACACTCTCATAACGGACAGTTGTGTTTAAAGTTTTAGAAGATCTCAACCACATCATACACTGTGCTCAGATTTTGTTCCTGAACTAAAGACTCCAGTGGTCTCATGTTTGTGTCTTTTAAAGTTTAGAAGAGACCTCAACAACCTCACACACTGTGCTCAGATAATACGTATATGTGCAGCCTCTGAAGTCTTGAAAGAGATTACAGCAAGAGATGTTTCTTCTACCACCTCCTCATTTTTGACTCTTATTCTCTCAAATATTTCTCATTTGTGTCTTTTTATTTCTCCTAAGAAATTGTAGAAGAAACATCTGAAATGATTTTGATACTAAAATGAGAGATACTGTATATATGAGAATCACAACTAAGTCTCCTGAGTTTAGGAAAAGCAACCACTGAGCAATACATTTTTCCTCTGGGATGTCTCTGTACAATCCCAGTACACACCTCCACGTCAGTGGTACCTTGTTGTTTGCACTGGTGACGATGAGAGATGTTTGCTTTTGCAGCTGTTGCTGATGAAAGTCTGTATGGTCCCTTTGGTATTCGCGATTGAGAACTCAATGTCCATTTTTCCTAAAAACCATGCGGAAACGTGGCCTCATCTGAACAGACACTCTCCTAAAGGGTTATTAGGAACACCTGTTCAATTTCTCATTAATGCAATTATCTAATCAACCAATCACATGGCAGTTGCTTCAATGCATTTATGGGTGTGGTCCTGGTCAAGACAATCTCCTGAACTCCAAACTGAATGTCAGAATGGGAAAGAAAGATGATTTAAGCCATTTTTAGCGTGGCATGGTTGTTCGGTCTGAGTATTTCACAATCTGCTCAGTTACTGGGATTTTCACGCACAACCATTTCTAGGGTTTACAAAGAATGGTGTGAAAAGGGGAAAACATCCAGTATGCGGCAGTCCTGTGGGCGAAAATGCCTTGTTGATGCGAGAGGTCAGAGGAGAATGGGCCGACTGATTCAAGCTGATAGAAGAGCAACTTTGACTGAAATAACCACTCGTTACAACCGAGGTATGCAGCAAAGACACAACACACACAACCTTGAGGCGGATGGGCTACAACAGCAGAAGACCCCACCGGGTACCACTCATCTCCACTACAAATAGGAAAAAGAGGCGACAATTTGCAAGAGCTCACCAAAATTGGACAGTTGAAGACTGGAGAAATGTTGCCTGGTCTGATGAGTCTCGATTTCAGATGGTAGAGTCCGAATTTGGTGTAAACAGAATGAGAACATGATCCATCATGCCTTGTTCCCACTGTGCAGGCTGGTGGTGGTGGTGTAATGGTGTGGGGATGTTTTCTTGGCACACTTTAGACCCCTTAGTGCCAATTGGGCATCGTTTAAATGCCACGGCCTACCTGAGCATTGTTTCTGACCATGTCCATCCCTTTATGGCCACCATGTCCCCATCCTCTGATGGCTACTTCCAGCAGGATAATGCACCATGTCACAAAGCTCCAATCGTTTCTTGAACATGACAATGAGTTGACTGTACTAAAATGGCCCCCACAGTCACCAGATCTCAACCCAATAGAGCATCTTTGGGAAGTGGTGGAATGAATGGATGTGCATCCCACAAATCTCCATCAACTGCAAGATGCGATCCTATCAATATGGGCCAACATTTCTAAAGAATGCTTTCAGCACTTTGTTAAATCAATGCCACGTAGAATTAAGGCAGTTCTGAAGGTGAAAGGGGGTCAAACACAGTATTAAAATGGCGTTCCTAATAATCCTTTAGGTGAGTGTATTCCCACTGTCTTCCACACCATCTGGGATGATCTCGGGCCCGGGGAACTCGACTGCTTTTATGCATAGATCTGGCTTTTTCCTTGCGTATGATTCAATTTAGACTGTTAAGTAGCAACGGTTTTCCAAAGTACGCCCAATGTGGCTGTATTTAACAGAGCAGCATGACTGTTTCTCATGCAGAGGACTCATGCACATTCAACAGAAGTCTCAGATGTACTGAGATTTTTCCGAAAACATTTCCGAAATTCTTTGCAATCTTGACTTGAGAAATTCGATTTTTGAATTGGTTGACAATCGTCTCATGAAATTTGGCACAAAGTGGTAAGCCATGACCCATTTTTGCGTGCAAAGACTTATTCTCCTTTTATGCCCAAACATGCTATTACCAGTTGACCTGCTCATTGTGGACTGTTTCAAAATAGTTTAACTTGGATATTCTGTAATCTTCTCAGATTGTGTTGCAGCCATTAAAGTTTATTATAAATACAATTAAGCTGATCTGTGAAAAAATTGTAAATATTTGCTTTGTGCTTTAGTCAGTTAGATAAAGCTTCAAGAGAATTAACAAATCACAAATTCTTGATTTTATTGCATTTTACAAAATGTCCCAATTTCCTGGAAATGGGGTTGTAATTTTCTGTAGTTTACTGTATTATTGAAAAAGACTGTTACATTTGTGCTATGTTGTTATATAATGCATTTTTAAATGTGCAGTTTGGGAGTCCAAATACTTTTAGGGTCCGTGTATTTGCGGTTTGATGTGTCCACTAGGGTGTGCCAGACACATATTCCTGTTGAAGCTCGAACAGCAGAATGCCATTTTAATGATTGTGTGTGTTTGCAATCATTTATCAAATATGAAAGTGTCTGAATGTTGGTTTAGACGCACAAAAAAAGAGTTCTCATTATAAATGACTGCATTCTTTATCAAGAAGAGTCATCAGTTGTGAAATCAAGTGCATTATGGGAGTTTTACTGAAAAGGACAGCGGTGTCGTGTATATGAGTCACT